AGGAGTTCCACAAGGCACAGTGCTTGGCCCCCTTCTCTTTCTCTGTCACATAAACGACCTACCCGATACAGTAAATTCTCAAGTGCGGCTGTTCGCTGATGACTGTCTTACCTACAGAGAGATAAACAGCAACGATGACCACAACTACCTCAAACAGATTTGAAGTGCCTTATGAATTGGGCACACAAATGGGGCATGAAATTTAATGAAACCAAATGCTACACTATGACAATCTCAAGAAAAAAAAACACCAACCCATATTATGTACTCACTAAACGAGACAATCCTCCAACAAGTATCCAATAGTCCCTCATACCTTGGAATCCTCTGCTCAAATAACTTAAAATGGTCGCCCCCTATAAACAAAATTTCAAAAAAAGCCAACTCCACCCTAGGTTTCATCCAAAGAAATCTGCGCCACAGCCCAACTTCCTGCAAACTTCCTGCTTATCTCGCACTCGTCCGGAGTGGAATATGGTGCGATCATCTGGGACCCACACCTTAAACAAGACGTGGACACGATGGAGCGAATTCAACGTAACGCGGTGCGTTTTATCGCTCGAGACAACAAATCCACCACTCCTGGCTTCGTCACTGGCCTCTTAAAAAGATTTGACATATATAAAGTGATCATGGGACTAGTGCCGGCCATCCCAGCAGGCACGTACCTCACCCCACAGAAGCTGGGTAGACTGATCAGAGCAAAACGCTCACTGACCACGGACTTCACCACTGACATTCCCATAAACAATTACACCAGAAACAATAGCAAATGCTTCAAAGTGCTTCAGTGCAACACAGTGCAGTATCAACAATCTTTCTTCCCACGCACAATAATAGCATGGAACCACCTGAATGATGCCTCTGTGAACTCGACATCAGTCGAAAGCTTCAAGGCTGCCCTGGCATCAGCTAGGAGCTGTTAGAATAGCAACATCATACCCCCAACCGTTGCAAAGATGCCAGTACATGGGTTCAGCAACGAAACATTACCAGAACCAGAACTACTTAGCTTCATTGATTTAATACTACTTTGGAGCTAAGTGTTAATTTTAATTTTATATGGTGATGTGTAATTTAAATAATGAAGCAAATATCACTCATACTCATACCCATGCTAATAAAACTATTTTAAATGATCCGGCTCTTGATTTGAAAAAAAAAAAAATATGGACATCTATGTAAATGGGCGCCCGCCGGTAGGGGCAAGGGAGGCACTCCCCCCTCAAACCATCACATTTTCTTAGACTCCCCCCCCCCCCACTCCCCCTTTGGAGCGTAGGCTTTATGTATGGCTCCTAAGTAATTTAGATCTCACTTTTAATAAATATGCCTATAAAACAATTTACACCAAAAAAATGTTAGTTTCCCAATTATTAAACATATATTATTTTATTTCATTTCTTTCCATTTTAAAATGCTCATGTCTATTAAAATGTAATATATATATTATTTTATTTAACCAAACTACTTACCTATTGCGATAATTACGGAACGCGGCGAACTTCATTGGTTGGCGACATAGACGTCATTTGGGGAGGACCGGGGGGGGGGGCATTAATCCCCTCTTGATTTTAAAACATTTCTCGCACAACCGTCTCGATTTCAAAACAAACTTTTCGCACCCCAACCTTAAAAACTCGTAATGCGCATAAACTTGATGTTCTGGCTCCCCCGCACCCCCTGGCACTGTCTCCCACATCCCCACTGGATAACCCCCTCCCCCCTCCCGTAAAGAATCCCTATCCTGTCCAAACAGGGAAAAAAAAGAAAGGGGGTGGGGGCAATTTCGGTATGTTTAGGCCAACTTATTACTATGAGTATAGTATTATAGAAAGGCAAATGTTTTAAGCATTTGAAATGATTTCCATTCGGGGATTAACAACATTTGCCCCATTTCACTTACGCCCCTTGTTAGTTAGAGTAGTGATGGTCTTATTAGTCAATACGTGTTCACCATGGGCGCCCGCAGGTAGGGGAAAGGGGGGCACTTGCCCGCCCCCCCCCCCCTCGATTGATTGGATCAAATTTTTTTATACAAAAATAGGCAAAAAATATATTAAAGTAAAGAGAAAATAAAGAGAAAGTAACTAAGCTGAC